CCGGGCACAGAGGTGAGACTGACTGGTCTAAGCATCTATGAATATTATGCAAAGCACCATGTCTGAGGCTCCAGCACCCTAATAAATCATAGGTCTTATATGATCACAGTTACATTTCTTGCATAAGGTGACAGCTTTTGAGCTATAAAAGCCACATCCCATGCATTTGTCCAGGAAAAAGTTAATGCAGAAGAAAGAGAAGGAAAGAAGAAAGATAAAAACAACGAGAAGCTGAAGTTGTTCCTTTAGGATAGCAAAAACTGCCACCGTGGAACAAACCATAGGTGTATGTAATAGAAGAGGATGATCATTTTCCACTATCTGTCTTCTCGAAGATCTTTCTAGCTGTGCAGCCTACAGGACAGTGTTCCCCAAAAGGAGTTACGTATTTTTCACAGAAGCACAAGAACTGAGATCTCTCAGATTGATTGCTCTGTTCACATCTGTATGTGCTCCCTTTTCTGCCCCTGCCTGTCCTATCAGCCTCTACTTTGCATTGTCAGTTGATTGTCCACATCAGTTTTGCATTGCCCACCACACCCAATTCAGAGATAGATGAGAAACTACCTCATTGACGTCGATGCCGTTCCTCTCCATGTAAGCCCTGTCATTCACCTGTCCTCCTTCCATAAACTCCATTAGAAGGACGCGGCTTGATGAGAGCTCCCAATAGATCCTGGGAACCTGAAACAGGAACAGATGTGTTAGGTCAAACAGCAGGCTGGGAAAGCAAGGAGAATATATCACACACAACCTAGAAAATGAGGAAAAATGGAAGAGGCTGAAGACTTGCTTTTTTCCTGAGCACAAGGGAGGTAAATCCATCTACCAGCCTATTCTCCACGACAGCAGCAATGTGTGCAAGGACAACACGCCAATTTAACAGCAGCAGGATCTGTCCTATGCAACATTTCTGGTCCCATGCTCTACAAGGTTTTGACCACCTCCCACTCCCACTGTCAGAGAGCTTGCTTATCTGCTCTGCAGTTCCTCTCGCTGGGCTGTTTAACTAGTACCTTTGCGAGTTTCTGAATCATCCACTCAGCTCCTTTAGACAGGAACTGCATCTTGTTTGCTACGCAAAGGGCCCACTTATGCAGCTCTAAAAATGATAAGCCATTGTCGTAAACTGTATTTCTGCAGTGCCCCTTGGAACAGAAATGCCTTTGAGCTGACAAACCCCGCATACTTAGGCCATCTGCAATTGAACTGGAAGAAAAAAAAAGTGTCACAAATAAGGGACTTGTCACAGAAACCCTGGGAGACCCTTAACTATCTTATTGCCAACGTGACACAGTAACAAGTGTAAAATGTCAAAGCACTTTTCATTCAATCTGCAGTAAATCAAGCTGAGTAAGGTACCAGTAAGAGGTCCAGTGTCACCCAGGGAGGCACTGATGCAGGCATCACTCAGGCTGGCTCCCCTTTTCCAACCTCTCTTTCCAGTGAAATTCTTCCCATGCTGAAGTCCCTATTGCCAAGAGTCCTTCTGCTGAAGTTCCCTTTGGAGATCTTTCACATCACTGCGCTGACATGTCAGTTCCCAAGCTGTCCAGATTTGCCTTTGCACATGGCTGAAGCCACACAGGTACATTTTACCAAAGATATTAGGGATTATTGTGCCTCGGTACAGAGATACACATTTTGGATCCTATAAAGAGAGAGCCAGCTGTGCAGCCCCCTCTCCTCACCCGCCTGACTCTGCTGTGGACTCACAACTTGCACAAAGCAAGGATTCACCACCTTGGGGCAGGACAGGAAGAGGTAAGAGGTGTTGTCCATCTAGTGTGACCAAAGCCAGGGGACCAGATAGGCCACTGCAGCTCATCATAGCTTCTGAACAAGCAGCATTTTTTAATACTCTGCTTGTAACTACTAACAGTGTCTCAGTCCCTCACAAAGTATCTGCCTCCTCCACTGTTTCTGTCCTAGAGAGATCACTTTCCCAATGTCACCCACTTTTACCTTACCATGTGTGTTCTGCTTTAGCTCAAAGGCTCCTTCGCTGAGCAATTCCAATGTCCCTCAGTCCCACTGTTCAACACTGCTGGCATACTTTGCCTGTTAACCCTGCAGAGACTTCGAGGCCAGAGATCCACTATGGGCAAGGGGGATTCAGTTACTTGCAGCCTCCCCATTTTATCCGGATGACATTTTTTGCAGTTAGATTGGTGAGAAAGAAAACCAACTCCAAAACTAACAGTACCCCAGCCCACCCAGCTCACTGATCCCTAATGCCTTAGATCATTTCAGATGATCCTCATTCTTGTCTCAAGATTTACAGGGGCAAGTCAGTGGGCTTGTAAAGCACTGTCCATGCTCTTGGAGAAGCCTCTCTCACTCACAGCCAAATTCTTCAGTGATTTTTTTTAATTACTCACAGATGTTTGGCTGTAATACTAGTTCATGGAAACAATTTATCTCTGGCTTTAAAAGCTCAAAAAGGTTCACAGCACAAAATCTACTTCTCAGCTTTCTAGCATGTTTAAGAAAATTAATGATACAGGACACCAATTCTTCTGTTGCCTTCGGGTGATGAACACGTCTCTGAATTGGCAGGTCAGATGGAAGGATCCATTATTTAGCCATCTCAAGCCATTTGTTATTGTTACACATATTGATATCATGATAACTCCTTAACCCAGCGAATGTGTGATTGGCCACTCTGTGGGGATTTACTTCAGAGTATCCTGGTTAAAGCTGCAATGGATACAGCTCTCCAAGGTACACCACTTCTGATAAGCACCCACTCAGCAAAACCTTTGGCCTTCTGTAGCCTTGGTGGCTTTTAGCTATCTGTGTCTATGGGCAGGCCACTGCTGCCACTGGGGTCCAAAAGGATTGCCCCAAACCTGGAGTCAGGTGACAAGGAATTACAGCCCTTGCATGGAGGAAGCAAAGAAAAGATGGATTCATCAGCCTGCAAAGCCTAAAAAAACTCACCTCACTTCAGACATCTGTCACTTCCATCCTGGGACTGCTGCATAAACAGGAGGTGAAAACCTCCTTTGATGTGTGTATGCAGGAGGTTCCAAAGGAGGGTGAATTTTTTGCTACTTTTGTGTCTGTGCAAAAGCAGTTTCATCACTGACTGTGCCCACAGTGCTATGTGTGCTTGACCATACATTTATTTCCAGAATGCATACAGTGCAGGCTTGTGCCTCTTGTATGTCAGCAAAAGCTTTGTGCACATGTGAGTTAGAAGATGTGAAGTTATGCCTTCCTAACAGATGTGTACATGCATGGTTGTCTTGAGACATTTGCCAGTGACCTTAGTCAGCACGTAGCCGGTGAGGTGGGGTAAGAGTGTCAGTGGGGAAAAGCACAGTATGGGTGCAGTTCAGATTGTGTATGAAGGTAACACAAATGCATTAGGCATGGATGAGTATACTCTACCCCCCTACTCTGCTCTCGTGAGACCACACTTGGAGCACTGCGTACAGTTCTGGTGTCCCCAACATAAGAAGGACATGAAGCTGTTGGAGCAAGTCCAGAGGAGGGTCACGAGGATGATCAGGGGGCTGAAGCACCTCCCAAACAAAGACAGGCTAAGAAAATTTGGACTGTTCAGCCTGGAGAAGAGAAGGCTGCGTGGAGACCTCATAGCAGCCTTCCAATACCTGAAGGGGGCCTACAAGGATGCCAGAGAGGGGCTCTTCATAAGGGACTGTAGCAATAAGACAAAGGGTAATGGGTTTAAACAGGAGAAGTTTAGGTTAGATACAAGGAAGAAGTTCTTTCCTGTGAGGGTGGTCAGGCACTGGAACAGGTTGCCCAGAGAAGTGGTAACCTTTCATCCCTGGTAGTGTTCAAGGCCAGGCTGGACAGAGCCTTGAGCAACCTAGTCTAGTGCACAGATGTGTGAAGTAACACTATTAAGGCACATACATACACAGAAATATCTGTTCCCTCACCTTCAGGAAGTCAAAGTTCTTGAACATATCAGCAACCTTCTCAGCATTTCTACCTTCGTGGAGGAAATCCAGCTCCAAGGGCAGATTCTTCTTAGCTTCTTCCACCAGCCACATGAACTCAAAATCTGGAAAGATCTGCTTCACAACCAAGAGGAGAACCTGAAGGCAAGGAAACAGGCAATCAGCTGCATCCTAGCTCCAAAGCCTCACGGCTACACACAGTATTGTTTTGATAGGACCATTCCATGTAATTTACAGGCAGGAAAAAAACCCAAACAAACCCCCAAAACAAACAAAAAAATCCTCACCAAACCAAACACAACAAAAAAACAATCTGTATGTACTTGTAGGGTTCCTGCGGTATCATAACACAACACATGGTGCCTTGGTCGTGCAACACACTTTAGCTTATTTTTCCAGCCAGGAACATCTAGGAGTTAAATGATGGCACAGACAGCAAACGGAGCCCAGCTGCCTGCTGCCTAAAAGTAAGAGAACGAAGCCCTGGAGAAGAGACCACATAGTCAAATCTCTCCAAGGGCATGGCCCAGGAGTGACCCTCTTCTGAGTCCTATGGTACTACAAGTTACTGCTTGGCTTCACTCGAACAACTCTCAGATAATGCAGAAAAGGAAGATCTAAAGTGAGACTTAACTCAGTGTTACTTCTTCCACTGCTGAGCAAGAATTTTGCAAGCACACAAAATCCACTGGGCAGCTCAGAAAAGATAGTGGAGTTTGGATACAGGTAGCAGACTACAGTTCTTTAAAGAACACTTCTGGTGGTGGTCAGAGGGCATGCTGCTCCTCAGCATCAGTCACAGCCATCCTGAGCAATGCTGAGGTGGTGTTTTGCAAGAGCCATATATCCACCACCTCCTTAAAGGGATTAAGTATTCAGCTGCACAGGGCCTTGAAAAGCCCAGCCAAGAGGTTGCTGGAAATATTTGCTTAAAGCAACATTTAAGGGACAAGTGATGGTCAATCTTTCTTGAAGAGATCATGCAACTGGATGGCTTAATCAAAACTGCACATCAGCCAAGCATGCTTTCTGTTCAAATGAAGGGCCAGTTTCTCAACCAGTGAAACAAATTTACATAAGCTGACAATCTGGACCACATTTTAAGGAAAATAACATGTTTGGGGTTTTTTAACTACTTGAGTCATAAAACAAGAATAAAACATTAAAATGTGATCCACTTTGCTATCTTTACCTTACTTGTTATGCACATCCATCTGAATATGAAAATCAACTTATTAATGTGTTCCTGGACAGTTTCCCTTTCTAGATCTCCACCACTGAGGTGGGAATTCCGGCACTGCAGGAGGAACACTTAAAGCACACACAAAAAGCTGCCATCATTGAAAGGTATGACAAAAAGTAAATTTATGAACCATCACTGCTCCTGTTCAGCTGTGTGAAAACATTTGTTCTCCACCCCTGTTTCTACTTCTCTTATCTAAATGTCAGTTCCAAACTCAATATTCCTTTAAAAATGTAATCACCAGATTCCAGACACTATTGAATGATTTTTCAATTGTTATATCTAGAAGCATAAATCCTTCCAAATTTATGTCACCCAAATGAAATGTAACCAGCCATCTTCATGAATGTGTACATAAACTTTACAGGGGCTGAAGGATTATTTCATTGGTGCCTGATGTTAGAAAATTCATGCATTGTTTTTTGCTTTCTTTAAATGCTCTTTTGGCTCAATTTACCGACTTGAACATCAGCAGGGACAAACTTAACAAGCATTTGGCCTGTCCCTTTTCTGACATGTGTCTAACATTGTCTTGAAGTAAGTATTGATATAAGAGGAACAGTGAAGTATCTCTCTCTGGATTTATCAGATGTTGTACTGATTCTTAAAGAGTCAGCACTGATGCCATGAAACCTCAAGTGAATTTAGGAATTTTCCATCTAGCTTTTCCCATCCAGATTCCTTCCCATCAGTCTCTAAATAAGACAATCTCCATCAATATTTAAATCAGCCTGCTACCTAGCTGCAATATCTAAGCAATTCTTAAAGGACCAGAACCTCATTGCAGATAATCTGGCTTTTAGTGCAGCCTACACAAGAATAGTTCCACGCAAGGATATGATAATGCATATAAACCAACACTTCACAAGATGCCCTTTAAAAACAAGGCTGCATGTGTCATGCTGTGAACTACTTTTCTATAGCTGTGTGTACACAACAGATCTTCAGGATGACAAAACAGACTGTCTATTTGAGGAAGGACAACACTAAATTCCCAAAGGGAAATACACTGGTTTAGTTTCAAGTTTCCCAGGAGGTTTAGTCTAAAACCAGAAAATACAAGAATCATTCTAAAATCATTTGTTTAAATGTCTCTTACCAGTATAAGCAGCAATCACAATAACAATACCATGGCAGGGGGGAGGTATTTTTCTATTATATCCACTGTTAAAAGGGCAAATGTTCCAAGGTGGATCTAGGTCTTGGCTCATTCACACATCATCTTCTTATTGCTCTGGTTTCACAGTATTTCATTACCTGCCCATCCTTCTTCCCTGACTGCTTAGTTTCTGCCATCCTATTCTGGGCAGGAATGAGGAATGCCATAAGCCCCTTGAGATCTGCTGTGCACGTGATGATTCACAAAAGCAAACTCATTGGGCAGACCACTGCAGTCAGTCCCGGAGAGGACCAGAATCAAATCCAAATCCTCAGCTGGACCCAAAACTAGTTTAAACAGCTCTCTGTTCTCAAACCAGCATTGAAACACACATATCACATCTTACTGGGATATCTTTATTGAACCCCCAAAATTTCACTATGAGTTCAGAATAAACATTCAGCTGCAATGTGATGTGCTCCAGCTGGAACCATCTGTGCTTCTTTGCAGACTAGCCACAATTGCTCAGAGCTGGGTATTTTAGATGCCTAAAGAAGCTTTAGTTATGTGCTCCTTTGAGAGTGTGCTAGCAGGATCTTTGATCGGATCCTTAATTCCTGATCTTCTGTGATGGTGAACTGTGTGTCATTGCATCACCAGTACCCTCTAAACACTTATCAGCCCCCTTTAACCCCCCTGTTGAATCCACAATGGAATTTAACTGAAAAACACATGCTAATCCCATAGAATGATCTTTCCTTGGCCACACAGCACTGACTGCAAGGGGAAATAAGGCCAGTTTAATCAACCACTTCATGAGCACACAGGCTGAAGACAGACTTCAGGACTCAGTCTCTAGTTCTTAAATCTCATATGGACTTACTCTGATGTCATTCATGTTTACCTGTTTTCTTCTTCTGCCCTCCTTCACTCTTACCCTCTTCCTCAGTCTTTCCATCCACACAATTGCCTGCACTGCAGTCCTCACCAACTTTCTGTGTTATTCCCATAAGGCATCATTTATCCCTGTTGAGGTTTCAAAGGTATACAATAGTGGTATTATACCTGCTTGTAACAGAGTGAACATGGCCCCCACACATTCCAATGGCAATTGCTCTGTAAGTCAAAGTCAACAGGTAGTTTTACCTCTATGAGCAAAATATCCTTGGAGCTCTGAGCTTGGACCTTTGGGTGCTGGATTTTCACTGCCACGGTTCTGCCATCCTGCAGCACTGCCTTGTGCACCTGGGCTAGTGATGCTGCTCCCAAAGGAGTGTACTCAAAACTCATGAAAAGCTCTTTTATCTGCCAGAAGAAGAGAAAGAAGCATCAGCTTGGGGTGCCAGAGACTATCCTAAAGAAAGCCCAGCCCACAGGCCAGAGATAGCATGTGCCAAAGCCGGACAGGCTCAGCCCTTTCATCCTTTCCTTGTCCCCTGCCTGAGCCTTGTCACTGCTTGGCGTCCCAGTGAAGTCTGCTAAGCATGGAAGTGCTCTGGAGATACTCTGCTCATGGAAACCTGTGGTAGAGCCCCAGCAGCGCATTTCATCTAGGACATGGAATGGCCCGGCATCATGTGAGGGATCCTTCCAGGCTGTGCTGAAAATGGGCTGGAGCAATTGTGGTCAGCATCCTTGGTCGCTACTGGGTGCAGAAGCCATCAGCTGTCCCTTTTCATGTACTTCTTTTGCAGATATTTATATTCCACCCACCATCACCCCTGAAACCTGACAGCATATTCCCATGCATTACGGCAGTGTCAGCCAGCTTACTTGGCAAAAGCCAGCATGACCAGGAGCAGTGGTAAGGGCTGGATTCAGGGCAGGGGGAAAAATGCTACAGTTTGCACTTTTTATGACTTGCCCTGAAAACCTGTTTTATGTCATGGACTTTCTAATACTCCCAGTAAAAGTAACCAGTGCTCCCTCCTCACAAAAAGCACCAGGTGGGGACAGAAAAGCACTTCATGGGCAGGAAAGGAAATTATTGGCAGCTCTGCCCATGAAACTCAGGACTAGACTATAAGAAGAGTTGCAAATAAGTAGATTCACCATGGGAAGCCAAAACCTAGACAGACATGGGTGAGGCAATGGGAGATGGGCAAAGGCCCATCTGTCCTGCATAATACAGCACCTTGCTAAGAGATCCTCAGCACAGCACTGGGCAGCCTGGACCTGAAAACACTACTGCTATGGTCACTAGAGATGCCCCTCTGCACTGCTAAATTAGCTCAGAGGGAATGCCAACACGGTTATGTGGCTTCAAGCACAGAGCTGGTTCCTCTAATGCTAGTTGAGGATTTCTGTCCTGCTCTGTAGAGCAAGGTGCAGAAGAAGGCTCTGAGGTATCCAGAAGTCAGCAAAGGGAACCTATCCCACACTTCCCACAGGCTGGACTGATTTCGCGTGAGTGGTTGAGAAGCCTGTAATTTATGCAGTAACAAAAAAGAAAGAATGTCAGTGCATTTTTATAACCTGCTTTTTAAAAGGTAATTAAAGATGGGAGCTGCAGTGAGCTAGTAATTAAATATGAATAAAGACCTTCTAAGCAAAGTCTTCATGCAAAGCATTAAACGAATATTCTTTTTGCTGACAAGGAAGAAAAATACTATACAAGGAGCAGTCTGTTCCCTTCTGCAGCTGCCAGGGAATGAGCCCCCTCCCACACCACCCTACCCCTTCTCTTCCAGCCCCTTCCACAGAAAACTATTGCTAGCAACAAACTGGAGCATTTGCAGCAATTAGATTCCAATAGAGAGTCAGCTGCCTCCAGTAATTCACTAGGAAGGTGGGTTCTATTTATTTATTTAATTCCCTTTGGTCCTGGCAGCAAAATCAATTAAGTAAAACAACTGCATTTAAAAACAACTAGTTATGTGGTTTTTAATTACAGCAGGTCCATAATTCAAACCTATTGACATTCATGCCTCTAGAGAAAAAAGGTTTTTCTCTCTTCCCCTCCGCCCTTTCTTTTCCCTCTCACTTCTGGATTTTTGAGATCCTCATTTCAGATTAATATAAAGAAAGAAGCACCTAAGATGACAGATGGCTATGGGGGCACATGTTCTAGACACAGGGACTTTCACCTTTAGGTGAAGTTTTTCTATCAGCTGAATAGAGGACCTGTTAAGCAGAAGACATTTAAGGTGGCCAGGAGCATGTTTGGCTAGGAGATCCATAAGGAAGGAAAAAACGCAGAGAACTTACCACAAGAGGTCAAGCTGCAGCTTTCTTCAACTCTCTCAACTACCCCACATACTCATATTAAAGGAGTGTACCTTTTACAGAGTAGCAACCAATATTACTAGTCTAAACTATCATAAGGGTGGTAACATCCTCCAATGGTTAAAGCACAGAACTGGGACCTCACTGGCTTGAAACCAGTAAGATGCATTTATAGTAAGATGACATATAAATTAAATAAAATTCCACCTTCTCTGGATTTCAAAAGCTTTTAATTGCCTACACTGTCAATCCAACCATTTTCACCAGTACTGAATGCATACAGGATTAAATAAAAAATAAAAAAAAAAGCTCCACATATTCCCTCAGGCAGGAATAATACATCCAATATTCTTGTGTGACAAAGTTTTCTAAGGAAACATCATTTGAAGAAAGCTGTCTCTAGGAGTTCTTTTGTGCAGAAGGATTTAATTTAAAAATTTGTTGTTCAGGACATGAAAACCAGGTTAGCAATCACGTTCATTAGAGCCAGCCCAGTGGCCCTGCTGCAGTGCAAGAGGAAATCTGTGTGCATCCACAGGCTGCAGGTGAGGGCAGCAAGGCAGGAACTGCAACAGGGCCAGAGAATTGATGGATCCTCCAGGAGCAGAAGGATAGAGTGTGCACATGGGGGAGGGAGCAGATCACCAGGCCATTACATGAGCAGGTGTGAGGATGAGATAAAGCAGCAGCACAATTACGCTTGGCTCCAGGACCCCCCACTTAGCAAATCACCCTCATTCATTATGAAATTGTGCTTTTGCAGCTCGCTGGAGGCAGCGAGTGCCTCTGATGGAGGCTGGGTGTCCCTGACATGCACAAGCAAGCGAGAGGCTGTATGACATGGAAGCAGAGAAGCGGTGAGCCAGGCTTCACACTGCCTGCTGGAGAGTAGGGTCCTTCCCAAGGGAAGGTGGCTGCACCCATTTCATGCAGGCGGGGAGTTCTTGGAGCAGGCTGCAGGCTCTTACTGCTCACAAGCACCCAGCTAATAAGCACCCTTAACAAAAACTCTAACCATCATTTCCAGGATGTGTAATTAGCAAGCAAAGGTCTGGGACAGTCTCGAGCCCACCTCACATGGTACTTAAGGAACTCTCAAGCTTCTTTCAGGACACAGCTGGTCTCAAAGGGCCTTATCAAACTGGTTATTACCATCTGTAATCCTGGCAGGAAACGAAATGAGCATAGTTTCTAGTCAGGTTTAATAGAGGTTTAAAAGAGAGAAAAGGACCTTTAGGGCTACTCTTCCAAAGAAGCAGGACAGCCAGCTGCTGGTTTACAGCTGTACAGGTGAGCAGTGTCCCTGCACGCAGTGGTTTCCCTCACTAGCCTCCTGTACAGCCAGCTCCCCATCAGGCACATGCTTAACCAGCAGGTGAATGTGTCACTGTATTTCACTAGCTGGAAATACAGCCCTGACTGTCTAGTTCTAAGGAATGAAGCTCATTTAATTTTAAATATGCAAAATCTTTTCATGATTGTTGGTATTAGTATTCACACCTCAGGCAGCTGATAAAAAAGCTCTTACAGGATCTATCTACTTAGACACTTATTAGTATGTATTTGTGCTGAGGTTGCACCTAGAGACCATCATTAAGCCCAGAGTACCATTGTATGAAATGCACAGCCACGGCGGGCCCTGCACAAACTCACACATTCCAGGAGTCCCCAGTTGTCACCTACAGGCCTCCTCACATGCTGAAGTGCCCTCCCAAAGCACACACTGCTCTGCCTGAGGTCTGTGGCACACACCAGCTGATGTGCAACGCTGAGCATCAGAATGCCTCAGTATTTTTTGTGAATCCTGTCCTTAAACACTTACGAAGTTACTGGAAGTCAACTGGATTTAAACTTCCAAATCCGGAGTCCTTTCTGAAAGTACTACCATACATGACCTGACCAGCATGTTCTTAGAAGTCTTTGACAGAGATGGGCCTTAACCCACATATCCCAAGTTCCAGCCTGATGTCTCCAAACCTTAAATGTTAACTGTGCATGTCTTGCTAGCTTATTTCTTTTGAAATATACTGTCTCTTAATCCCAGCCTTTCTATATCCATGTGCTGCAGCAAATGATCAAATATGACCACCTGCTTTCAACCTGCCCGCTCCACAGAGAGGTATATTCCCTTCCCTTTCCAGAAGGGCTGCCAACAATATACGCTGGAGCAGGACCCTCAGTCTTGCAGCCCCTTCCTGGCTCAGCACTACGTAACAACATCCCAAGTGGGATGTGGTAGCTCTGCTCTGCCATGCTGACCACAGCAGATGAACACTGCCGGTGTGGTAGCACTCCATTCAGGACAAATTTAGGGTGCAGTGCGATGCAGGATCACTAACAGAAGGTGTTTCAACAGCCCAGCCCTGTTTAGCTGGCAGGTTGAACCCCTTCCAGCTTAGTGCTCCAGACCCCTATTATGTTGTGTAGCCAGAATGAGACTACTAAAGGGTCTAAGTAAGAAGATTTTGCATTGCAAGTCCTACCCGGGAGGTTTCCAGCAGAGTCCAGGATAGTTTTGAAAATTCTGGTTTTCCACAATCACTTACATAAAACCTTTCCCCTGCCAAGCTAAACCACTCCAATACAGGTAGTATCAGTGAGGAGACTTTGAAATGCTCAGCATTTCCCAGGGGAAGACAGTCCTTCACCAAACCATTTCAAAACTGCCTTCAAGTATTTCCCAGGACTTCAAAGGAGACTTCAGCCTGGAAAGACAGACAATGGGAAGGGAACATCACAGAGCTCTATAAAATCACTCCTGTCATAGACAACAGGATTGGGAACGCTTGTTCACTCCAGGAGCAGCAAATTATCAGTTAGAACACAAGACGACCAGATGGCAGGACTAAAACAAGCAAAAAGAAGTACTTTTCCCCCACCAATTATACCATGGAACTCATGGCCACAGGATGTTATGAATACCAGAATTCCAGGTGGGTAGATAGGTCAATGAAGAAAATCCATCACAAGCTATTAAACACCAAGATAAAATCTCTGGCCCAGGAAATCTCTAATCTTCATCTTGCTGGAAGATGGAAGATCATACCAAGTAAAGTTTAACTATATGCCTGTCATGCTTT